TGCATGACCATACCAAAAGAGTCAAGTATAGACTGGAGAGAATCTTGAGCAGCACACACACTGGAAAAATCTATGTTAAAGTCGCCACATAAAATTAATTTACTCTTAAGAGGGAAAGACTCAAGCAAGCTTAGTAAGTTTTGAAAAAATGTAACCAAGTCAGCGTCAGGTGTTCTGTAAATACAAACAATGTAGAGGTCGTAGATATTGTTGTAGACTTGTAGACTATAGAAAATTCGAATAATTTTTCAGATAATAAATTGTCGAACTTGGTTATCGCCGAAAAGTTGTTATTAGTGGACATTATTACAGTACCTCCATGAGATAGTATACTTCTAGTATACCTAGATACTGTAGTGTAGTTTTTGACAAACACAGGCTCGTCAATATTGAGCCAATGCTCTGTTATGGCAATAATTTCTGGAAAATGTAGGTGTTCTAATAATAAATATAATTCATCGGTTTTGTGTCTAATGGACTGAATATTGATGTCTTGTCTTCATTATACATTCTAACATTACGACAATCATACCTGTGTTGTTGAACTCTTTTGTCAAGATATTGCATTGTCTCGCCAATATAGCATTTGCCGCATTCACAGGGTATTTTGTAAACTACTGAGCTTCTTTTTCCTTCTGGTATCCTATCTTTAAGTGGTGTGAAAAAAGAGCTAGCGGTTTTTGGATTGTAAAAAGCTAGTTTCAGCTCCGAATTGTTAAAGCATCTGCCTATTTTTTGAGAGAGACCATCAATGTAAGGAAATTTGAAGTATTTTTGTTGAGTTTTAGTGTTACTTTTAGTTTTTGTTTTAAATCTATTTATATTTCTGTTTATGAAACTTAAAGGATAATTGTTGTTCATTAATTGTTTTTTGACTTTTTCCATATTAGTGGTGTGAAATTCTGGATGACTTAGATTGATGGCTCTGTGTAACAATCCATTTATAATTCCTATTTTGTTGGAGAGAGGATGGTTTGATAAATAATTTAAAATCCTACCAGAACTAGTGGGTTTTGAATACCAATTTGTAATAAGGGTACCATCAGGTTTGCGATGGATCTCCATATCCAGGAAACATATTTTGTTACCATTTTCTATCTCCATCGTGAATTGGAGTGATGGGTGGAAGCTGTTGAAGGTGTCTAGTAGTACATTGAGTTGGTCTTGAGGAGCTGACAATACTGTATCATCAACATAGACAAATATGAATGGGACATGGAAGTGTAGTCTTTTCAAAACTTCTGTGATGAGATGATTCATGACTAGATTAGCTAAAATTGGTGATGCAGGATTTCCCATAGCTGACCCATCTTTTTGTAAGTAAATATCACCATTATAGGAAAAATAACTTGTGTCAAAGCAATAATTTATTAGGTCAATTAAGTATTTTTTTAGGAATGTCTGTGTAGTTTGAAATAAATCTGTGTTCAGAGTTAATAATATCCAAGACTATTTTCTTTGGTATGTTTGTGAACAGACTAATTACATCTAGGGACACTAGGACATGTCCATCAGGTACTACATGTTCCTTTATTACCTCTGCGAAATGGAAAGAGTCTTTTATGTTAAAGTGGAATGTTGTTGTTAAAGGATTGAGTATTTTATGTAGATACCTAGCTATGTTGTATCCCGGTGAGTTGACACAACTAACTACAGGCCTAAGATGTAAACCAGGCTTATACGTCTTTCTCAAACAGTAAAGTTTTGGGGAAACTGAGTTGTGACGTTTCAATTCCTTTTCCTCTCTAATGCTGATCAGATTCTGTGTTTTCAGCTCAGTAATCATTTTGTTTGCGATGGTCTGAAATTTGTTTGTTGGGTCCCGGTTGGTGGATTGATATACATTAGTGTCACTCAGCATCTCAACTACTTTTTGGTGGTATTCACTTTTATCCATAAGAACAGTGGAGTTCCCTTTGTCTGATCGACTGACAATTATATTGGGATGGTCTTTAAGGAACTGTCTTGTTTTTTTAACTTTACCTAATAGGCCTTTGTTAGTAGTTGAGTCCTCTTTTCGGTAGAAATTCGTGATGATGTTGGTAGACTGGGCTCTCAGGTTGTCCTTTTCTTCATTCGAGATAGCCTGACTTCTTATACAATACTCGACATCTTTGATAATTGTGGGTATAGGTATCTCCTTCCTTGTAAGTGGGAGGCCATACTTTGGTCCCAAACCAAGGGTGGTTTGCACTTCTTCAGGTAACTGGACACTAGTATAGTTGTAGAGGTAGTTTTTACCCACTTTCAAGCATATCTCATTTTGTGTCTGTTCCAAGGATACAAGTTTCTTTATGTTGATTTCTTTAATTTTGTGAAATTCTGCATTATATCTGTTGTTATTTTCATTTAAACAGTATAAATAGGTTTCATCTGGGATAAGTTTTCGTAGTTCAGCCTTGATAAGTTCGATTGAGTCAGTTGTGGTTCTTAATTTCCATATCGTAATGTCAATTTCTAAGTTTAGTAGAGTAGCCTGTAGTTAGTTGTGTCAACTCACCGGGATACAACATAGCTAGGTATCTACATAAAATACTCAATCCTTTAACAACAACATTCCACTTTAACATAAAAGACTCTTTCCATTTCGCAGAGGTAATAAAGGAACATGTAGTACCTGATGGACATGTCCTAGTGTCCCTAGATGTAATTAGTCTGTTCACAAACATACCAAAGAAAATAGTCTTGGATATTATTAACTCTGAACACAGATTTATTTCAAACTACACAGACATTCCTAAAAAATACTTAATTGACCTAATAAATTATTGCTTTGACACAAGTTATTTTTCCTATAATGGTGATATTTACTTACAAAAAGATGGGTCAGCTATGGGAAATCCTGCATCACCAATTTTAGCTAGTCATGAATCATCTCATCACAGCAGTTTTGAAAAGACTACACTTCCATGTCCCATTCATATTTGTCTATGTTGATGATACAGTATTGTCAGCTCCTCAAGACCAACTCAATGTACTACTAGACACCTTCAACAGCTTCCACCCATCACTCCAATTCACGATGGAGATAGAAAATGGTAACAAAATATGTTTCCTGGATATGGAGATCCATCGCAAACCTGATGGTACCCTTATTACAAATTGGTATTCAAAACCCACTAGTTCTGGTAGGATTTTAAATTATTTATCAAACCATCCTCTCTCCAACAAAATAGGAATTATAAATGGATTGTTACACAGAGCCATCAATCTAAGTCATCCAGCATTTCACACCACTAATATGGAAAAAGTCAAAAAACAATTAATGAACAACAATTATCCTTTAAGTTTCATAAACAGAAATATAAATAGATTTAGAACAAAAACTAAAAGTAACACTAAAACTCAACAAAAATACTTCAAATTTCCTTACATTGATGGTCTCTCTCAAAAAATAGGCAGATGCTTTAACAATTCGGAGCTGAAACTAGCTTTTTACAATCCAAAAACCGCTAGCTCTTTTTTCACACCACTTAAAGATAGGATACCAGAAGGAAAAAGAAGCTCAGTAGTTTACAAAATACCCTGTGAATGCGGCAAATGCTATATTGGCGAGACCATGCAATATCTTGACAAAAGAGTTCAACAATACAGGTATGATTGTCGTAATGTTAGAATGTATAATGAAGACAAGACTGCACTGTCAAAACATCATTTTGAAACTGGCCACCGTTTCAAATTTGATGAAGTTAAAATGGTAGACTCTGAACCTCAGATTTATAAGCGAAAGGTGAGTGAGATGATTCACATAAATTTAAACAATACAGTAAATATCAAAATTGACACAACAAACAGACTTAGTGGAGTATACAACAACATACTACAGACTTATAAAAATGTCAACAACATTGAATAATAAAATCCTTTTTAACATACTGTGATATCTCTGTGATTATGATTAATTTTGGTGATTGTTTGTGACTAGTTTTATGCCTTGTTTGTGACAATAGTTTATTTAATTTTTTATTTTATTTTATTTTATTTTATTCTTTATGTTTGCCTACATAAACTTAGTTTATAACTTATTGTAGGGAAGGAGCTTCAATCACAATTAGTAGCTTTCTTTTAATATTAAATTTGTCTGTATGCTTTCCTCGTTGGTACTGGTTACATTGGTTTGTTATTTAAGTTTAGTGTTCACATATTTTAAAGCTTTTAAATTATTTTGAATTCAGTTTTAATGCTATGCAATACATTTTAATAATGACAAAAGTTTCGTTCTGAAACGAATTAACAATTATTTCTTTCTTAAATTTGAAATAATTTGTAAATGTTCCCTTTCAAATGGTTTCTGTTCAGGAGTTTAAGCAATTATCACCCATCACTAAGAGAAATTTCGATGGTAAAAATGTTTAATCAGCCCATCACTACTACTAATATAACCTCACAAAATCAGATGTGAAAATCAGTTAGCTTTCAAATTTTAAATTCAAAATAACGAATTTTTGTGAAAAATTGATTGCATCCCTTAAATATTATGATGAGAAGTGCCTTTGTCCATCCTGAACGGACTCCAGAAGCAATAGTTTAAGTAAGTACTGAAAGGAACAATTTATTTTATTTTATTTATTTATTTATTTTGGCTTAAAAGTTGTAATTAACTCACAACAGTATATTTATTGTTGTACTAAGTGCTTGTATTTCCCTTTTCCAGGGCTTGAAAAAGGAAAAATATATTCCGAAACGTTGCCAAAAGCTTGATAGTTTCTTTTTTGGTCCTGTCCTCTAACCCACGAAATTAAAACAAATCTTTGCAAGGACACGAAATGATCACAGTTTTTATTGAATTTGAGATAAATTATTGAGGGCATGAGCATCCCAAAACAAATTTTGCCTGCTGCGCAGTGGTTACCTTAGGGTAATTCATTATTTTTTAGCCTCCTCACTTGAAAGAGTCACGAGCCGCCACTGAATAAAGTCAACCTTTTTTCTCATAAAGTTTTTTAAGAGACAATATATTTGTTGAATGAATAGGTGGAGAATTCAAGAAAATATAGAAACATTCTTCTAATAAAATTTATTAATTTCCCAATAATTCGTGCTTAAATTTAAACAAAAATTCCATAATTCAATCCCAAATTCCTCCTCAATTGCGTGGCTTGAAGGTCCTGTTCTGGAACTGAATACTCACATCCTGAACCCGCATGTTGGAAGTCAAAAACTGCTCCAAAGTGTCGACTCCGTCTCTTGGCAGTCTATCAAACGGATAACCCATGGAACGACGATCCGGATACAACTTGTCTTTGATACCACAGTACGAATCGGCATCGTTGCATTGTCCAGAAGCGTCCTGGTTTACCTGGAAGTAGACAGAAGTTAATGTATCGGTTGTGGTTTGAGGAAAAAGTCACTCACTCTGTCGCCTTCGATGTTAGAAATCATCACGAATAATTGGCAAGGAAGACCTTCGGGAGTTCCTTTAGGAATTAGCAGATTATCAGGCCATCCGCAACCGCAGAAGTTGAACTGGGACAATTGCTCACCTCCTTGAGGACGAGAAGTGTCCAAATCACGGTAAGTCCGTTCAAATGGAATGGTTACTGAAGAATCGATGGAGTTGCGCATAATGGTATTTTGCCCTTGCTTCACTGGAAAAAAAATATTGGAACAGGTACCTAGATCCAAAATTAAATACTTACAAACAACTTTGAACTTGTCCAATTCAATAAACATGAGCCTTTGGTCTCTCAACAGCCAAGGATTACCTCTCTCGTCGGTTTTGGGTGCCAGGAAAATACGGCAAGTTCCTTCGCGAGGTTGATTACTTTGCACATTGATTTTGTAGGTGAAAGCTCTGTGCTGGAGATGGGTAAATCTGTACAAAAAAAAAATTGAAATTATTGTAACTCTTTAATTTATAAGTCAAATTCTTACCGTACAAATACAGATCCACGCGGTTGGAAGTCCATACCTCTGGATAAGTCAACATCAGATTGTTGCCAGAATGTTTGCAGGACGTTCTGTTGTCCGCCTTGGACGTCTACATCTACACTTTGCACAGTTACACCTGGATTGTTCAACTATGGAAATTTATATTGTTACATTATAGCATTGGGATTTGGAATCTTTTACCTGATTTTCTGAGTATCTTGGTAAAGTTCCTTTGAATTTTTGGAAGAGATCGTCGATAAATGCATGCCAACGATAGAAAATTGGATCTCTCATGGCTGTAGCTGAGTCTCCAATGGTACTGAATGATTCCTTAAATATTGTATTAGTAATAATTTATTAGATAAATAATTGATTAAATTACTCACTAAGTGTCTGTGATCAGGGTCATGGATGTATGAAATCAAAATATGGCCAGTATTGTGCAGATCTCCATAAAAGTCCCTGTCTACTGATAAAATACTAGATTCAACCATATTTCCTAAAATATCAATGCCTTCATCTTCGGTAAGAGGAATTTGGCGACCGCTCCTCTAAAATTAAGCAATCCAATAAATTCCCAACAAAACTTCTTAAAAACTACATACATCTCTAACCATTCCAGATTGGATAGCATCAAAAATCCTATCCCTCCATCTCTTCATATCATCAACATCAAGTTTAAGTCCATCAACTTCCCTGTTAACATTTTGCAATCTTTGGTTGCTGACTCTAGCTGGCCACGCCCTGCTAGCTACCAAACTGTCCAGTTTTGGGAAATAAGCTTCATCGATTGGCGCGTCCCAATCCAGAAAACGCGTGACACGTTTCAGGTTGTTGCTGAGACGTTCAAAATTGTACCTGGCAATGACTTGCTGGTGCATATAGTAGAACAATTCGCCTCTTCTGTCTTTGGCTACAACAGATCTGGCAGCTTCGAATGGGTAAACCAAATGCCAGTGCCAATGGTGGAGATTGAGGCCGATGTCTTCTCTGAAGTAAGCTAGACGGTGTTCAGTTTCCAAATCTGACGCTGTGTAGTCTTTGGGGACTTCAATAGGTAACTAAAATAGAAATTATTTAAAATATGTATTGAAACATCCAAAATATTCTTACTCTGGATCCTTCTGGAACAACAGTAGCATCTTCTCGTGCCTTGGCAAAAACTTTGCTGTCCAAATATTTATCGGGAAATGAATGAATTATAGAAGGTATATCCAAATCTTGTGTGTCTGGTCTGTGAAGCAGGGCCACTGATAGAGCATAGTTGAAAAGGTAAGGGTTGACACGATCTCTGGCATAAACTGCCACAGATAGTAAGTCGTCTACATTGCGGACGCCCAAAAATATATCGATAAGCCTTCCCGCTAATTTGCGATGTTTAGGGATAAACAGCGAAAAGTTAGAGTCTCTTGGAAGCTCTAAAATTTCTCCTAGAGGAGGAATAGTGATGCGGTTGACTGGAATTTGTTCAGAAGCTTCTTCGCCGAAACGGCTGGTCACTTGAGGGCCGATTGGCTTGTATTTTTCGCTCTAAAAATGAAACTGTTGTAAAATATTTTAAAAAATCAAATATTCTTACCAAATACTCTGGTGGAACTGCAAATGCCTTCTTCTGGTCGCCCTTAGGCATAAAGGCAGGTTCTTGAGGGCGGTCGAAGAGCAAAAGAATGTTTTTCTTGTCAGACATTTAGCTTGTTTTGTTTTCAGCGCAATCAAAAAATAATTAGAAGCTTGAACTGGAGGTATCACCTACACTGAATGTCTTAGGTAATATGAAACAATACTCCAACTAGTGAGCTTTTATATTAAAAGTCTCAGATAACTGGGATGTTTTCGCCGCGATTATCTTTTTTTTTGTTTGTTGCGGTTTCTTGAATCCATGGGAATTTTTATTTGTAGGTCTATATTATGAAGGTGACTTTTTAATTATAACTGAAATAAGGAAGAATTTTGAAATATTGAGTATTTCTTTGTGTTAAATTGCTTGTAAAATCAATTATTTCTGGATTTGTATATTTGATACCAAACGCCCTAAAATATCTACAAAAATCTCACTTGTAGAAATTCCAAAGAACGACCTTTTGTAGGTATCCTGACAGTTTACACTTTTTTTAGTAAAATTGCCTAAAAATCAAGGTATTTTACCATAATAATTTAGTTCAAAAAAACGTTCGAGATACAAGGTATTATAGGTAGGTACCTTGATAAATCCAAAATGGAAAAGATATAGCTCTAGATTTTTTTCCAAAATGTTGAAATTTCAAAGTTTTTGATGCTAAACTCTACTGTGGACTATTATTGGAAAATTATTAAATTTTCTATTTTTTCCATAGCTGGATTGTATCTCTGGAACTATTACGCCAAATGAGCTGAAATTTTCAGGATTTGTAGTCTTTCAGTAAAATAAAGATGTCCTGAAAATTTCAGATCCATATCTTGTGATTTTCTAGAAATGTATCTTCAAAGTTCCAGCACCTTGATAGTTACCTATTCTCTATTCTTATAAGAATTTCTGAAGTTCTTGAATTTTCTTTGCGTGTTATTTATAAAAATTGAATGAGACAGCCTGAAATAGATAAAAATTGAACCCCAAAAAAAAAAAGAGAAATATGTATCTACCTATTATTTGTTCACAATCCGATGTCCAAAGGTAAAGGTAAAATTTATCACGTTTCAGTGCTGTTTGATAGGGAAAGGTTATAAATTTACCTTCACCTTTGGACTACGGATTGTGAATAGGATATAGCAATCAAAAATTTGAGAAAACTAGTTTTCTTCATGACAAGCTTTTCATTTACAGACAAAAATTTAACAGCAAAAGCCTTTTCCTGGAGAATACATTTTATAAATACAAAAAAAAAATGGACCTAAATGACTAATGAATTGATCGACTGGAAATTACCGTTCTAGAACGGTTCTTATCTCTGTTGGAACATAGAATTTACATAAACTTGACATGGAATTATTCCTGGTAAAAAATAAATAATCTTAAATTTATATACCTGAACTTCACGTGAATGTCACAGATGTGTTTACTGGGAGGCGTTTAGAGTTTTGTGAGCAACTTTTTATCCCTTCACTTGGAGTATTTCCGCATTTTCTTTGTTTCAATTTTTCTTTATTTTACAGGGTGTTTAGTACATCGATAAGAATATTTCAATGAGTGATAGTTGGTAGGTATATTGACTTACAAGCTTTGAAAATCTCTAAAGTTTTGTTTTCCAAACGCTGGATTGTTTGATATTACATAATATGTATATTCTAAAAGAGGTGTTTTTTAGAATAATGTTTAGTAGTAAAAATAAATGGATTTATAAACAGAAGGAGAAGGGCTTCAAGTGGAGATCTTCCTTCCAAAATAGTCAAATTTCATTATTTATTTTTTTTGTGAAGATTTTAGCTTTAGGCGATCATTTGGAACCCCAGAAACTGCACACAGTGCCGAAATCTATAAAAAAAGGACGGTAGGAAAATTGAAAAATCCAAAAATTCACCTTGAATTCCTTAACGCGAGTTAAGTTACTCGTTTACGCGAAACCGTAAAAAAACTTTTATTTTCGAAATTAGGTTTACAAACTTATGCTAACAGTACAAAGTCTTCAGTAACACTAACTTAACTTCTAAGGTTGATTACACACTTATATATTGGAAAAAATCATAAATATATCGTTAGAGTAAATACTTTAGAAAGTAGATGCATTATCTTAACATTAAGTAAATAATAGTGGAAGATATTCAACTACATAACTCGCGATTTTATCTCAGGAACCTAGTCCACAAGGGTTCAAATTTTCAAGGATTATAGTCTTTCACTAGGATTAGAATTGCTGAAAATTTCAGCTTTCTATTTATAGAAAAAAAGTTATGCCCTTCCAAAGTTTTCGAAAATCTAAATCATAAGGTAGGTAGCTTCTTACTAAACGGATGAAATTTTAAATTTTTTTTTGTTGAGATTTGGTGTCCTAATGGTCATTTGGGTTCCCGCAAACTCCATACACTAAATTATTCTCAGATTTGAAGCCGAAATCTATGAAGAAAGGCACTCAGAAAAATTGAAAAATTGATAAATCACCCCAAATTGCTTAACACGATTTTATCTCAAAAACTATAAGTCCAAATGAGTTGAAATTTTCAGGGATTGTAGTCCTCTATTGGAATAAGAATCGCTGAAAGTTTCAGCTTTATATCTTTAATAGAAAAAAAGTTATGACCTTCCAAATTTTTCCAAAATCTAAATCATAAGAAGATCTTACTAAATGGATGAAATTTTAATTTTTTTTTTTTGTTGAGATTTTGTGTCCTAATAGCCATTTGGGATCCCACAAACTCCATACACTAAATAATTCTCAGATTTGAAGCCGAAATCTATGGAAAAAGGCACTCAGAAAAATTGATAAATCACCCCAAATGGCTTAACAAGATTTTATCTCAGGAACTATAAGTCCAAATGAGTTGAAATTTCCAGGGATTGTAGTCTTCTACTGGAATAAGAATCGCTGAAAATTTCAGCTTTATATCTTTAATAGAAAACAAGTTATGACCTGCCAAAGTTTTCCAAAATCTAAAGCATAAGGTAGCAGTACTAAAACGATGAAATTTTAATTTTTTTTTTTGTTGAGAATTTGTGTTCTGATGGTTCTTTGAGATCCTCCAAACTCCATACACTAAATTATTCTGAGATTTGAAGCCGTATTCTATGAAAAAAGACACTCAGAAAAATTGAAAAATTGATAAATCATCCCAAATTGCTTAACACGATTTTATCTCAGGAACTATAAGTGCAAATGCGCTAAAATTTTCAGGGATTGTAGTCCTCTATTGGAATAAGAATCGCTGAAAATTTCAGCTTTATGTCTTTAATAGAAAAAAAGTTATGACCGTCTAAAGTTTTCCAAAATCTAAATCAACTTCTTACTAAATGGATGAAATTTCAATTTTTTTTTTTGTTGAGATTTTGTGTCCTAATGGTCATTTAAGATCCCACAAACTCCATACACTAAATTATTCTCAGATTTGAAGCCGAAATCTATGAAAAAAGGCACTCAGAAAAATTGAAAAATTGATAAATCACCCCAAATTGCTGAACACGATTTTATCTCAGGAACTATAAGTGCAAATGAGCTGAAATTTTCGGCAATTGTAGTCCTCTATTGGAATAAGAATCGCTGAAAATTTCAGCTTTATATCTTTAATAGAAAAAAAGTTATGACCTTCCAAAGTTTTCCAAAATCTAAATCATAAGGTATCTATGTTTTTTATTCATGAATTTTCATTACTTTTCTATTCCTGGTTCTTGAATTTACTTTATGATAATTCCTAGCCTTCTTTGATTTCAGAGTTTGAATTTTCTGGATATGTATATCCAAAAATATTTTTAACTAATGCATATTAGAATATCAAACAACTTTGTAATTTAAATTTTTTTTCTTGCATCATCCTGTGAGGAGATATCGTCCGATATCGCACTAAGTGGACACCCTGTATATTGAAAAAGTTATAGGCTGTTCCCTATTCCTTGTGTCACCCTGTATAGGTTTAAAAATCATAAAAAAATAGCTTTGTAACTGTACCAAATATCAGAATTTTCTCATGCACACAAAAAAGTCGTGACTGAAAGAGTTAAATTATTCTAAGATTTGGAGCCGGAATCATCTGTGAAAAAAGGCACTCAGAAAAATTGATAAATCACCAGTGTTGCCAGGTGTGGCGAATTTGCGCCAAAGCGGCACTTTCAAAATTGGAATGGCGCCTTAAGTTTTGGAAAATGCGCCAGGCGCCCACAAGTGGCGCTTTAAAATCGTGGCCTTTACAGTGACTCAATAACCACAGTGGCGACAATTGCCGCCCTATTTTGGATTGGTTCTTTAAAATCCCATATATTTATATTGAAAATAAGCAAGAATATGGCGGCGGGGGCGTGGTTTACTTCTAGATTCCTATTAAAAATGAGCAAGAATGTGGCGAGACCTTTAGGCTTCAAGGCCAAATTTACAGTCGTTCCTTGAGTCTTCCTTGGAGGTCGTGAGTTTAGAATGGACACATGGACATTTGCTACAACGGGAAGTTTCACACTGGAGTAGCGTCGCAAAAATGCGGCGTGACAGCATGCGTCGTATATTTAGATAGTTTGCGTGTTTCCTACTCAAGTCGAACGTCGCATGCTACTTTGGTGTGAATACCCACTTAAGGTCTGATTAAACTTCAAAAAACGACTATAAATTCGGCCCTAAGGGCCGCCATTGTTGGTAAAAAAGGTTTATTGAGTCACTGTAGTTAGTAGTTTTGTTTTATTACTTTTTATGGGTAAAATCAATATAACTGTATTGTATTGCCTTTGCTTGGCTGATACCCGATTTTTAAAGCTCCGACAACCTTTTTTTTTATGTTAAAACTGGCGCATGAAAGTTGAGAATACCTGGTAACACTGTAAATCACCCCAAATTGCTTAAAGGGGGTGTGCGCCAAAAAAACAACTTCATCTCAAAAAAAAATAGAAAAAAAATCTAAGAATAACAGTGAAATCCGCACCCCTCTATGACAAATAATACCGCAGATATGGCTCTATGAAGGTACCGCATCTCACCCTATGACGTCACGAAAGCTCAAGCGACGCACGAGAAAGTGGATTTAATTAAATTTACATAATGTTTTTCCTGTGTTACCTGCAATAATCTAAACAAAAACCACTCACGCGTGCCGGAAACAATCAAATTAACAATGCAGAGCGCCGCTGGACGAAGTTTTCGTGACGTCACGAGAGCGTCGTCCACACTTTAAAGTGGTATATCTCAGCGATGGTTTATCGTAGAATAACGAGGTTTGAACAGTTATTCTTAGATTTTTTCACACTAAAACTTTAATTTTTGGCGCACACCCCCTTTAACACGATTTTATTTGTGGAACTATAGCCGAGGTTACCCAATTCCTTAATTCTTAATTTTTGTTCCAACCCAACAAATACGGACTGGCTGGTCCGACAACGGGACGAAAGTGATTTGCCGAGCTGCCGTGTGCGGCCCGCCAACGTCGGCTGGCTCGGCGTGTAGGTAGGGCATGTCCGCCAGGCCGTAAGGTGGCTAAAAGTCGGCTAGCCAACCATTTAGCCTCTGCAAAGCTTGGAATAACCGACGACGGGCCGATGGTAGATAGCCGGACTGGTAGAGGCACGGCAGGCCATCCGCGGCTCGCAAGGGGCTATCCTTGGATTATTTGCGGACATATGTTTATATAAACAAAAATGCTTGTTTTGATGTTCCTTACTACCCCTCAAAGTTTTTCGGTATCTTTTTGGGACACCCTGATGTATACAAAAATTTCAGGTATTCTACTTTTTCGCCTTGAGTGCGGAAAAGTAATACTTTCATGACCTCAACGTGTAACGGTAAGGTGCACTTTTCCGCACGCTCGTAGAAAAAAATTATAAAAACAGCTGCGATTAGGGATGCCACCTTTGAAAGTAAGTTGAACCGGAGAAAAAAAAACCATTATTGAAAGAAAGCTTAAAAAGAAAATCTGCAGATCTACAATGCAACAGATGCATTACACTTTACTATCTGTCTATATGTATATACACAAGTACCCCCTCCCCAGCATCACTGGATGTTGCTTGGGGAAACTTTGCTTGAGGTTGGGAGTTGAGACGGTTGGAGAAAAAGATTCAAGAATATTACACACTAAACAGAATAGCCTATCTTCATAACGACACTACGACCGCTGACGCAAACAGTTAACGACACTGTTGATGACTTCGATAACGGTGCAACACTATAGTCTTGATTCCAAAAATCGAGTCCAATGAGCGGACGTGTAGTAGTGTTTAATATCCTTGAGGGAGATTATGAGGCTTTGAGGTTCGTGGGCTGTCTATTCTATCGCCAAACTGCATGTCGGAGTCGGAGAATTTCTCTATTTCTCCGAGAGAAACCGTATTTGCACAAACAGGATTGCGCTGTTGCTAAATTCTATTTTTCTTTTTTAAATGCGTTTTTTTTTGTGTTAAATGCGGTTTTACCCGGAGAAAACACCTAGTAATCCGGAGACTGAAGACCATGTAAAAACCAGTAGACTCCGGGTGAAACCCGGAGAGGTGGCAACCCTAGCTGCGATTTAATGAAACAACAAACAACCAATAATAATTGGAATAATCAAATCGATCAGATTATTCATTTGATGTTTTCGCGCTCCGAATCTAGAAGCAATTTTTGGCTTCTCCACAGATCTGCAAGCTCTAAAAATTGGTGTTCTAGGTATTTTTCTATCAATGCCAGCATTTTGACGAAGAAAATCCAATCGAACAGGGAGGGGCTAGCGTTAACCACGCCCTCCGAATTCGAAAGCAATTTTTTGTCAAACTATGAGTGTGCTAGCTCTAAAAAATGGTGTTCTAGGTTGTGCTAGGTACAGTGCCTCTATACAAGACAGTGGCGACAATAGCGCCTAAGCTCCGCCCACCCGCCATGTTTTGTCGAACTCATTCAATAATGTATTTGTTCTTCCTTTTCTTTCTGTTCTAATTTTTTCTCACAAAATAGTCAATAACAGGCACAAA